CACACCTAGCCCTGTCTATCCTAAGGAGGCAGCGAAGCTCCATTGAATTTCCTGGTTTTGCACAGAAACTGACCCATTTTCAACTATGACTTTATTTGTAAGACTCTAGTGTTCTACTCATGAGCAAAGTAAGCTAAAGACAAGTCTGCATTTCAAGTAAAATCCATGCCCTGCTGTAGCAAAGGCTAAGCGGCTGGAGAAAGCTTAGCAAGTAGCTCTTCCCGGCGGCGGCAAGTGATGCTGGCCAGCCCTCCACCTACTCTCCAGTGTCCTTCCTCCCCTCACCCAGGCCTTGGAACGCACTCCACACACTCCGCAGCCCAAGTGGGGGCAGCTTGAAAATCTTCCGCTAGCCACCCCCTGGCTTGCACAGGGTTAGCCAGGACCAGCCCTGACCCTCTTCACCCAGGATGGCTCCAGTTTTGTTTGCTTTACTTTGGGGTTTGACAGTTTATTTGAGAAAAAGAACAGTCTACTGCTTACGAACAACTGGACAATCACGGGACTAAACAACTGTTCTAGTTCATTCTCTTGATGTGTATAGAAACAATAGAGATTTGTCCAAATCATTTCAAGCGCTGGAGGGTAGTGACGAGGGTGCGGTTGTTAGACCCATCTCACTCCCGTGCTTCTCCCTCCCTCTCTCTCTCCCTCAAAACACAGCAAAGGAAAAAAAAAATCACCCATTATTCCAACATGTCTTTTAAAACTGTCTAAATGAAATGCTGAAAAGTATCCCTTTTCAGTATATGAATAAATATAGACAATCTCAGATACGGAAGTGCTGAGACAAAAGGCAAGCGTAGCCTCGGTCTGGGGGGGCGGAAGGAGCCATCCTCAGTCTGTCAGGGGGAAGCCATCCGTCCATGGTTTAGTCCTTGCCCCCACCACTTGTTTTCTGTGCTTGTTCAAACACTTCTGGCTTTTTGTTTTCAACCAGAAAGTTCTGTTTTGTTATGTGGCTTGACCTGCCCTAAGCTTTTATCACTTTGCAGCACAGTACATGTCCGTCTACCTCGTCCTCTGTAACTTTCTTCACATGCTCCTCATGGACAGACATCAAGGTCCTTTGCCTGCTTCTGCCAGTGTGTCACAAAGCCTCCTTGTCCGGGTGTCTTCGAATGCTCTTCCTAGAAGTGAGATTTGTAATTCACACAGCCCAAATGTGTCCCAGCTCCAGGTAGTTTGAATGACAGCCAGCTCAAGTCATCTGAGGCCAGGTTAGCGAGAGATCTATTACTTTTCTCCTGGGGCCCCTTCCTTGGCCGGGGTCTCCATGGATTCTACTGACCCAGTGACATCAGTCCTCTTTTCAGAGACAAAATGGAGGTCTGGTCAGGCCACGTGCAGGACCCCTTTTGGGTAGGGATGGTTCCTTCCTGCCTGTCACAAAGAGTTGGGGCAAAATACAGGTCATCAGGAGAAAAGCATAGGAAATTTGCTCTGTGACTGTTTTCCAGGCCCAGGGTTCCTGCCAGTTGAGGTGTTGGTTTGATGCTGCATGCTAGATAAGCGGGAGCATGAGTGGACACAAAGGCTGTGCTCTGATGCTGATATCCAAGGGGTGCCCTGTAAGCCCTAGATGCCCTCGCTGTGCAGGCCAGGAATAGTGCAGGCCATTCTCAGACAAGATAGGTCAGACGGTTTGATTATGGCCAGCTCCAAGACAGAAAGACAGGGAAAATTAAAGCCACATTTTTGGACTTTATGACTTGCTTTAAGGAAAAGGAATTCCATGATCAGTCTGAGAGGGCAGAAAGTCTAGTTTCTGGGGTGTTCTTGGCAGGGAGATAAAGGAGTGGCTAGGAGACCAAGAGAAGCCCAGTGTCTTAGTTACTTTTTACTCATTGCTGAGACAAAATACCTGAAGCCCAAGTTGGGAAAGGAAAGGTTTATTTCTTACAGTTTTTTGAGGTTTCAGTCCACACTCAGTTGGCTCCAAGGCAGGCGGGCATGGCTGGGCCGCAGTTCATGGCAGTTGCAAACAGCAAACAGAAACCAGCAAAGAGCAAGACACACCTTCTCCCTACCATTACATCACATCCTGGCTCCACCCCTATGTGGGTGTAGCACTGACACCATCAATGCAAGCACTAGACAATGAACCAATCACAAATACACAATGCAAACTCATGAGGCCTGGGGGACACTGACATAAACCATGACACCCAGGGAAACCTTGTTTCTTGGGTGTTGTCAGCTCCCCCACTGCACGATATGTCCCTCTCCATTGCTGCTCTGGGCTCAGCATGAGATGAAATGGAGTGGGAGGGTATGTTTTTTCTGGGGAGATGACTATATTCTCAGTGACACTGTGGCCCAGAGTCAGTAGACCTGGGCTTTTGGGGTACATTCTCTACTTTATTCTCAGGGTGACAGTTATTCCCACAAAATATGTCCTGCATGCCGAAGCAATTGAGTTGAGAGGGATTTCCCCCCTCAGCCTTGGACACTTTCCTGTCCTGTGCTCCACGCTCTGCACCACCAGAATCTTGTGTCAGAGACCAGGGTCAGTGGCCCCTGTCACCATCCAAGGCGGTTCTCCTCATGGGGCATGGGCAGGTATTAAAGAGACCTATGTATGAACAAGCTGCCATCAGACATGATCTTAGTATGAGGCCAAAAGTCAGGGGTGACAGAGGGTGCCGCAGGCTTCTCCTGCTGGGAACAGAGAGAGCCTGACTTTTGAGGCCTCTTGTGGCCATCAGCGAAAGCCCTGGCCTGGATACAACATGCCCTGCAAAACAGAGTGGAGCAGGAAAGCCATGGGCGTGGCCCTCCGAAGGGGCAGGGACCTGTCCTGGACAGAACCTGCCCACATCCCCAGGATGGTGATACCTGGCTTCTCCAAACAGGAAAATAAACTTTCTGTACTTCTTTATGGCTATGAGTTTTTATATCACATGTTTCACTTTAATGTGGTCTTCTACAGCCTAAGTTTCAAAATATTCCTAAATGAAGATTAAAATAACTTTGTGATAAATATCTAAAATGATAGTGTATGAATGAAGCCCGAAGGTTGGGAAATAAAAACTTCTTCATAGTTGTTAGCTGCTCCCACCCCATACTAGTGATGTGTCAGACAGAAAGGCTGATTTTCCCTATTGATGCTGTTTATTTCAAATTAACCCTCCTGCCGTGATCCCCCAGGCAACAAATGAAGCATTGTGAAATCTTTTCTAGTCCTCTCAATGGGCAATTAGAGATTCTTGAAGACAATAAATTTTGTTCATATTGTACCTAATTATGCTCATTTATGAAAATGACTAAAAACAGTGAATCAAAATTTTTTATCTGGTTACTGTAAGACAATCATCCGAGCCAAAAGAGAGAGGACAGTGGACCTGGAATCGGGCACCTGGAGGGAGCCTGGCTCTGCCTGGAGCAGGCTGCGTGCTATCTCTAAGCCTCAGCTCCCCTAGCCGGGAGATCAGTGCTGCTGGGCATGAGCAGCAGGATTCGGCCAAGGTGCTGGTGAGTCTTGAGTTCATAAGCCAGGATGGGACGCGCCATCCTCAGTGTGTAGGGAGCGTTGCTTCTGCCCTCCTTGGGCTCAGGTCCCTCATGTACAGCTGTGTAGTAGTTCATGTAACCTGTGCTCTGCCTCCTGTCCACTGTAAGTCAGCCCTAGAGGACCCACGTTGCCTCGCACAGTCAGTGCTGCATGCGGTTATCACCCGTGTGCTTCAGAGGACAATGGAAAGAAACAGTGCATGTGTTCGGGACAGGCGCACTCTCTCTCTATCGACCTGCAGTTGGTTGGATCTGTGGCTGTGGAACCTCAGAGACGCAGGGACCCACTGTATGTGTCTCTTGTATTATCCACCTTAAATCACTCACACATGCTTTATACACATATAGTACATACGATATAGTCTAAAGTAGCCAACAGATACCTGTGGACTGACCAGACAAGGAGCAGAAACAGAACAACCTTGCCTCAGGACCACCCAGACAGTGCAATAAACCTAGATAAACACAGAAGCACTTTTCCCTTCAACTTGGAACGTGTTCTAAAAAATAATTTAGTTGAAAGATTAATCGGTGAAATTTTTGAATAAAATAAAGGACATAGCACGCCTGCTCTTGCAGTCTTCCAACCTTGCCTTCCATTCCCCCTCACTTGAGGATTTTTATTCTGTCTCCAAAAGTATTCCAGAAAGCCAAGACAGAGAGCATTTCAAAATCAGTGAGAGAGAAACACTGGTGTGTACAGTGCTGTTTGATAGAAATGTGCTGCTCTGTGCTTTGCATTTCATCATTATTTTAAGCACTGCTTCTGCCCTTAGACATTAGGGAGGAGCCGGGAAGATAACAAGGTCACATTTGGCTCCGGAGGCCTCAGGCAATGGGAATCAGCTGTAGGGATGCACCAAGATGAAACACAAAACCACTTTCCCCTCCGTCAGTACATGTTCTTCTAAAAAACAATTCCATTTAAAAGAGTAACTGGCAGACAGTGTGACAGTTGTGAATCAAATGAAGGACCTAGCAGCCTTGAGCAGCTCCCCTCCAACCTTGCCCTGCATTCCTGTGGCAGGGGATACCCACTGGTGAGCGGACAGTGTCTGTGGGCAGGAGAATCCCTGTCATCTTGGGTCACTTCCCAAATGCCAGAGACCTAGCTAGCTCAGCCTTTTTGGCAGGTGATGTAGTATTCACATTTTCAGAGGAGGAAAACATAATGTCAGGAAGTCACACCCCTCTCCAGTAAGTGCGTCCCCCAGCCACCATGCCCAGCACTCCAACCACTGGATTTGGGGTTCTCTCCTCATCCTCCATCATTTTGAAGTTGATAGAAATCTAAGAGGTTCTGTTGACAATGGTGATAGATGAACCCATCTATCAAACAACCTTATGTTTTAAGGGGTTCTTTTCAGCATTAGCTGTCTCCAGATATTTCACATTATCTGGGAGGCACATATTGGGTCTTTAGACCCACCCTGCCCATCTGAATCAGGGTGAGTCCAGGGGTGCTACTGACCTCCCTCTCTCCGCAGATCCGAGTGATGCTGGACCTGTGCAACAGCACCAAAGGCATCTGCCTCACAGGTAGGATGGGGACCACCACACAGCCTGTGCCGGCACTGGCACCACCCACCACAGGGCAGAATGGGCCTGTAGCAACACTTGCCTTGTAAACAGGCATGTTGGCTGACTTCTACCAGATGTTTTTAATGGGCTAAGAACCGGTTGTAATATAATTATGCAAATAATAATATTTTCTGGTATTGCCATAGAAATAGAGCCATGGAAAATAACTAGGACTTGGGTAATGAGAAACGGGCAACACCATGAGCCAGGGCCAGACATATCACCCTGGGTCATGTGCATAGCGTGGACAAGAAGTTCTGGAAGGAAACTGCTAAGTAGCCAAGACATTCTTTTCTGAAGACTCTTCCAAACAGTAGGAACCCTGGGCTAGGTGGGCCCTGGCCCTCTCCTCCATGAGCCATTGATGTGTGGGAAGTTAGAAAGCTACTGGCTAGAGGTGCAGGGAGCCTTAGGACAGAGAACAGCTGGAGGACAGTACAGCTAGAAGAGGATTTTCCATCTCTGGGTCATCTGAGGAGACACCCTGTCCCCCACCTTCAGAGGTGAGCACAGGGGAAACTAGGCCCCAGAGCAGAGTCGACAGCACTGCCCCAGGCCAAAGGAGACTCTGCAAAGACCAAGGACCGAGGATGAGCTGTGTGGCCAACTTCAGGCCTTCAGCCTCTGCTGTCCACTGAGAAGCAGCATTCCCAGGAAATGGGGAGAAGGGCAAGGCCCCTGGGGCTTAAGAAGATGATTACAAGTCTTTGAAGCCAGCTGAAGCTGTCTGGGCTCCCAGGTGAGCGACCCAGGCTCAGTCGGGAGACTGTGTCAACACCTCACAGCGTGAGAAGCCTTGCTCCACCTGTACCTGGTCATCTGTAGTGTCCACTCTGCTTCCTGTTGTTACCTGTCCGGCCTGACAGGCACATGGAGCGCCAGCGGGTTTGCTGCAGGAATGAACCTGAGCTGTGAGCCTGAGATGTGGAGGAGGTGCGCTTCCCTCGGACCCCTCAATACAAGCTCCACTCTCCTGCACTCACGGAGCTTCAGAGAGAAGAGCTGGGACGCTTCAGCCCCTTGGGAAATGCTAATGGAATTACTCAGGGCACCCTGCAGCCCTCACAGAGAATTAAACCTCTTTGGGGCAGCCAGATCCTTTGTTCAGAAACTCTTGCAACTGAAGCACCTTCCTTCAGCTGTGAAGTCCCTTCTCTGAGCTGTCTTGAGGCAGTAATGAGTGCTAGAGAAATGCTCAGTGGATGGAGAGACGGGCACAAAAGCTGGCTGAGAGGCCCAGAGAAGCTTCTTCTTGCTGGTTTTCATCGCAAGGGCCCGAGAGCCATGCTGTGTGGTGAATGTGCAAGGCACAACTATAGAGACCACTTAGGCAGCGCGGGCGGGTGGCAGGGATGGCGTCCATGCTAGATTCTTGAATACTCCAAATGCTTCTCGAAAGCCAGTATTTTCTCCATCCAAGCCAGCTTGAAATCAGGTCTCCTTTTACACAGAAAGCTCTTCAATAAAGAACTCGAGCATGAAAAATGCAAGTTGTAAAGCAAAAAGCTGCTTGGGGTAGAACACCCTGCCTGGGTGAGTGAACAACAGGACCCAGAACGGGACTGGGGGAGACCTGGGGAGCAGCGGAGTGTTTGTCCACAGGCCCAAGGGATGCCAGCAGAAGGGGTCCAGAGGGAGACCTGGCCTCACACTAGACTGATCTTCAGAGCAGGCAGGCATGGGTGTGGGTGCAGCTCAGAGGAGGAGAACCTGCTCAGCATGCACAGGACCTGGGTCTGATCCCCACACCACACACAAGCAAGTGCATGTTACCATGGGCCTAGGCCAGCTGTACATTGGAACCCTGTCGTGTGGCCTTGTGCAGCCTGGGGCTTCTCAGCGATTCTCTAGCTACAATGGCAGGAGGAGTCTGTCAGGCAATGTATGGCATATACTTTTCCAGATTCGTCTTTTACTCCTGGGCCCACATTTCCTTGGGACCCCAGAACCATATGTTGGCTTGCAACAGGTAAATTCTTGATTTTTTCTACTCGGACTTGGAAAATGTCAGATCCGTCATGTTGCTGAACTTCTTGTTGGGGCAGAGACACCTCAAATACACAGTGCCCATTCTCCTTGCAGGGGCGGGGATACCTGTCTTCACTCCTTCTGCCCAGGCGGACATCCATGCCATATCCCCATGGTCCCACATGGCTTGAGGTCTCTCTTTTCTGGCATACCAGAAAGCCACTGCTTCCATGGATTGGATTGGCACTTAAAACCTACCGGCCATTCCTACTGCACTTTATTTTTTGGTTTTTTGTTTTGAGACAGCTATGCAGCTCAGGCTGGCTTTGAGCTCACTTTTTAGCCCAGGCTGGTCTCGAACTCACAGTGATCCTCCTGCCTCAGCCTCCTGAGTGCTGAAATTACAGGTGTGTGACATTATGCCCAGCTTACCTACTGCATTTTAAAAGGATTCCATAGCCATAACCCAAAGTGGCAATGCACCCATGAGACTGAGCTGAAGCTGCAGTTTAATGGGGACTCATGAGAAGAGATTCTTTTCTCATCACTGCCTGAGGACTTTGCCCACAGCTGGGCCAGGAAGCTCCCGAGGTGCTGTGCGGCCATGGAGACCAGAAGGACAGTCTGTGCTCTGACCACGGGCAAAGCTGCTTATGTTCTCGCCTAATTGGACGTCCTGAGTAACTCAGTTGGTATAGTATTTGTGGTTCAGCCCTGAGGCCATTCCTTAGAAGAGCCAAGCAGCTGGCTCTCCGGGGAAAAGCTTCACACCGCCCCTGGCCCAGCTCCTGCTTGGCCCTGAAGCTATGGCCAGCAGGAAGCATGCATGCAGGGATCATTACAGGAGGAGGAAAGGGAAAGAAGCTCCTGGCCTGTGGCTTAGTTTGGGGCACTGCATTTTCAGGAGCTCCTTCTAGAGCAGCAGAACTAGCCTCACCTTTGCAGGCATTTCTGTTGTTTTGGCTCGGTTTTCTTGGGCTCCTGTGTTGCTGCTGTCAGCAGGGAGCCATAGAGCTGCTGCCTCTGTGGTCCGTGCTGTGCTGAGCAGGTACCCGGGCTCCAGTGACCCCCATTTCAACCCCATTCCAGGGTCCAAGGGGAGGCCGTGGTGGGAAATTGGAAATCCTCGGGTGATTCTCCCCACTGTGTGTGTGACCCTAGGTGATCCCCTCTCAGGTCACATCACAGGTACCTGATCACAGCCCCGCAGGGCTGCCCCAGGCTGGGACCCACTCTGGGGACAGAGTCTGACCCTTCCTTACACCTCCTCACTCCCTGCCCAGGTCTGTGGTGCCAGTATTTCTTGTCTTGGTTAGGATTTTGCCATGTGCTACTGTAGGCACTTACCACTAGCTGTTACCTGAGAAGAAACAGTCGGGTGGAATGTCACAAGTTATGACAAGGACAGCGGGGTGTGTTTGTGGAAATAGGTGAGACCCTGCTTTGGCAGCTTCCACCTGTGAGGCTGCAGCACTGGTACCCAGCAAAGGCTTATGCATCATTCTGCAAAGCCAGGGATGTCTGCTCAGCTCTCCCAATGAATCCCGCTTCCTCTGTGACCAGGCGCGGGCTCTGTCGTCTCAACCCTGGGCACCAAGCTCACCCCCAGGAACACAGGGGAGCCATGGACAGCACCCTGTGCTCTTACAGCCCAGGGCTGCGAGCGTCTCACCCACCAGAATGAGACCTACATGTTTACCCTTTGAGCATGGGCTGAATGTGACTGAGTGCCTGCGGCCCAGTTGTCTGCAGCCCTTAGTAAAAGTGCAGGTTCCTGGGCCTTGCTCTAATTTCTTCCTGAGTGAAGCTCTCCAGAGGGGACCAAGTGCTGCATTTTAATAATCACTGCAGGTGAGGGGCTCGCACCATAGGAACTGTGACCAGGGTCACCATCTGGAGGCACTGCCCAGGGCCAGTAGGGCCCCAGGGCACAGCTCCAGTGACAGTGTCACCATGTCCCATGCATGAACATGGCAACACCATGAGGCTCTCCTGGAGTCTCTGAAACCTGCTGCACACACTCCATGTTGCTGCATCCAGTAGGCAGCGCTATTGTCAAATCACCCTTCTGACCTCTGTGGAATGTCCACCTCCTGGCTTCCTGGTGTCTGTGTGCGCCACCTGGTGGCATGCCTGGAGTCACAGGCTGTACTGACTAGAAAAGGCAGGCAGGTGTCCCAATCATTTGAACCAAAGCGGGTCGCAGGTACTAAGCGCATACCCTCCAGCACCTATTTCTCTGAGTGCCCCCATGTTCCTGGCCTCTGGCATCTGTGTCTCAGGCTTCCAAGTATCTGAGAGGGCTTCTACCTCATCAGACCTGTAGTCTTACTCCTCCCACCCAAATCTGGAACTACTAGCTTCCCCTGCAACTCTATAGTCACCACAGACTCACAGCCTCACCTTTGGTTTTGACTACAAAGATCTGGAGATTTCCTCTGTCTCTCTGTGCCTCTTTCATCTCAGTCCACCCAGTTCTGTTCAATTTCAGGCCACTCAGGTTTCCCAGCATCCCCCTGGCTTCGACACTCCCGGAGCTCCCTGCGCCTCTCCCATGTGGTCCCTGCCTCTTGACTTGGCTTCAGTGTCCACCCCACCCACAGCCAGATTCATGCTTATCTCTGCCCTCTCCAGGGTGCCAGTCCCCCTCCTCCTGCCCTGAACCCTGCCAGTTCTCACTTGCGTACCTTTGTGCCCACTGGCCCCTGCTGGGTACGCCCACCCTCATGCCAGCAGCTGAGGCCTAGCGTTTCTTCAGAGCCATAGTTCAATACTCCCCTTCCTGGAAGCCTTCACCGACAGCTGTGCATCCAAGTACCCCAGGACCCCTCAGGTTACTTCATGGCTCCCCGTATTGCAGTGAGGTTCCAAAGCCCCTTCCCCACATAGATGCAAGCCCTTCAGACACAGGGGCTGAGACTCTGGTACGTTAGAGTTCGGTGCAAGTAGTAAGTGCTTGATAAATGCTGACTTGGGAAATTGTCATATGTGGTCTGGAGAAACAGAAACTAAAAAAAGAGAGAAACGTTTCTGGATGTTAGCACTTAAGCAAAAATGATTAGCAAATGAACCCGCTGAATTTCTCTGAAGGGAAAGTATAATGAGCTCTAAATACAAGAGGTGGGGCGGCTTTCCAGGACACTTTAAGGAGGGGGTGCTGTTTTCTTGCTTCCACCTGCAGCTTACCATCAAAATTTCTGTTCTGTTCTAGGACCACCTGGCCCACCAGGTAGGTGCTGTGGCCTGCCTTCACTCCCAGGGAAGATGGGGCGGGCTGGTCCCCAGGCTCCCTCTGATGAGAGCAAAGTGGGGGAAGGGAAGGGAGCAGAGGCAGCCAGCTACTCCGTTCCCTTCTCTGTGTTCCCGTCACCTGGAGCCTGCCAATCCTGTCCCCCCCACCCCACCCCAGCTGTCACCACTTCAGATAGCAGGAGAGGAACCCGCTCTTCCCTTGCCCACGGGGACTCACGTCAACGTTGGTGTAGATTGTAAGTTCCTGTTTCTGTGTCTTGACTCAGGACCTCCGGGAGTCAGTGGATTACCAGGACACAATGGAACTGATGGACAGCCTGGACCCCAGGGCCCAAAGGGCGAAAAAGGAGCAAACGGAAAAAGAGGAAAAATGGGTATTTTGGCACCTTGTCTAATTAGTTCCTTATTTCTCGTCTCATGGTTGCATCTGGGGTAAGCTACAGGCACCAGCAGCCATGTGCTGCACCTCCTGCCCAAGGACCAGGTTCCTCCTGCCTGGAAGCTGCTGCATGCTGGGTACCATAGGCATCTTTTCTGTCCAACCCTGGTGCATGCTTCTGTCAAACTGGAGGGTCCGTCAGTCTCCCTGGGAATTGGCTCCCACTTTCTGCTCTCTCTGATGCAGAGGGAAATGTGGATGGAGCAGGAGCCAACAGCCCAGGGGAAGGGAACACTGTGGGGTGTGTGTAGCCATGGGGCTCACACCCACATTCTGTCCAGGCTCCCGCTCTGCCCTTGCTGCCTCCTCCTCCCCACTGAGTCCTTGCATTCTTGGAAAACTCACTGTGCTGACACTGACCCCATTCTGTGGGCCCTGTTCCCAGTCAGATGAGTGCTCTGCCTGCAGGAGCAGAATGGCAGCCTCCAGGCAGCTCTGAGCCTGGAGCTTGGCTGGGGGTGTGGCCGAGGAGACTGGCTCAGCCTTTGAATAGGGCATTGCTGTCATCTGGGCGAGGCCCAGAGGCACCAGAGTATCTGGTGTGTCCAGAGGGCAGTGACAGCCAGGCTAGTGCATCCTGGCAGAGGCTGGGCCAGGCTGGGGCAAGGGCTGCAGGGCTCTGGGTACCTGTCCTGGGAGTCCTCGGACAAGGACCAGCAGCTTCCCTATTGAGAGCTAGCCTCTGGAGGGAGAGGCCTTCAGGGCTCGGGCAAGAGTGCTGTGAGAAGCTCTAGGAAGGCTGGCTTACATGGTCCCCAAGTAAGAACACTGCCAAGACACAGAGAAGGCTGATTGTAGGAGCAGCCAGCTCCTCCTCACCTATTCAACCCTGGGCTCCAGGTGCAAACCCACCTACATGGGTCCTGGGCTGAGGGAGTACTAGCAGGTTTTCCCAACGCCTCAGCTGCCCTTCCGAGCACCTCTGCTGGCACTCGTCTGATGACCCAGGAAGAAAACTGCTGAGCACCTCTCCCTAAGCAGCACACCCACCCACATCACAGGGCCCAGTGCAATGGATGCACAAGGCATGGACTGCAGGCATGAGCAGTCCACGGCCGCTCGGGCGGCAGTTACAGCAGCAATTACAGAGCGGTGAGGGCCGTCCTGTCAGCTGGTATAATCGTGACAGCCACAGAGGAGCAGCAGTGTGGAATAACCACAGCCAGCAGCCTGCAGCATCCTGCCTTTCCCAGAAGACGCCAGTCGCTGGCTGACATGTGATCCACACCTGGACACTCAGTGCGGAGTGGGTAGAGACACAGCTGGGCTGGGGCTGCTGGCTGGGAAAGGAGCGGCTTCTCAGAAAGCTGGAGATGATGAGACCCAGCTTAGCGTGTGGCCACAACCAAGGGGAGGCAGAAAAGGAAGAGCTGCTCAGTTACAGAGTGAGGGTGGCAGAGTGTTCCGCACACTGGAGACTCAGAAAAGACCCCGCTCTGCAGACAAAGAGAACAGCCACCCCTGTAACCCCTGAAGCCTCCCTGGAAGCCAGGGACAAAGACCTGGGACAGGAGAAGAGGCCTGCAGTTCACCATGGCGGCCGGGTGTTACGATCGATCACCCACCCACCACCGTCATCACACAGGAGCTCGGACATCTCTCCTGTGTGGCCTGCCTGTGGGCATGGGAAATGTTGCCGATTTGGGGGACTTGTTAGCTCCAGCTGCAAGCACACAAGGGCCAAAAGCTGCTGCCCTCTGGGACTCCTGAGAGACTACCTGAGGAAGCTGGGGAGCCAAGGCTCAGAGACCCGACCCCCTGGTGTCTGCCCTGAGAAATGCTAGGAGCCATGGGGGAGCAGCACCGGGCCAGGCCCAGCTCAGCGCCCTGGTCCTGGCTCTTCTGGTTCCCCAGCCACGTGTGTGCGCCCCAAGTAAGTTCCTGGATCACTTTGTGCCCCAGAGTCCTGGTTTGTGAAATGGAGCCAATAACAGCTCCAGACTCAGCTGCCATTGGAAAGATTAAATGAGCCGGCACAGGAAGCACTTAGGACGTGGCCTGCAAGGGCAGCCTTTGTATTGGTGTGAGCCGTTACTGCTGATTATAAAAGGGGGAGGAGAAGCTTGGTTTTAGGCCAGAAGGAAGCCTTTTCTTTTATTCTTTTGTGCATTCACTCTCTTTTTTTTTTCTTCTGGCTTGTTCAATTTTTAAGCTTTTGCATTAATACAATTTTAGCTGGATATCATGCTACCTATCCATAATCCCAGCTATGCGAGAGGCTGAGTATACAGGTTTGAGGCTAGCAGCCTGGACAGCTTAGCCAAACCTTGCCTCAAAACAAACTTTTACTGTAGCTCGCTGGCAGAGCATGTACCTAGCGTGTGTGAGGGGCTGGCTTCCATCCCCAATACTGCAAAAGCAAATATATCATTTTTAAATCTACACATTGTAACTGTACCTGTTTGTGGGGCCCGGTGTGGCACTTCAGTACACGCACAGCTATGCAACGACTGGATCAGGGTCAGTGGCTCAGACTTTTGCCTTTTCTTGCTCGGAACATCTAGATCTACCTTATTAGCTGTGTCGAAGCGTTCAGGCAGTTGTGGGAGCCATAGCTATCCCGTGTTGCCATAGACCTGCAGAAGTTATTGCTCCTGCCTGACCCACTGACGATCCTTTCCCCACCCCTCCCCAGGCTCTGGTCCCTACTCATCCACTCTCTGCTTCTTTCAGATCAGCTAGAGCTGCCATACACAATCGCAAACATGTGGTATTTGTCTTTCTGTGTCTAAGTGACTCCACTTAACAAGATGCCCTGGCCAAAAGGAAACTAGTTGGAAAGATTCTACTGGCATTTGAAAATATGGACTTGGATTAGAGAGAACAGGAACTGAAAGGGGCCTCAATGTTGTCCACTGTGCAAGCAGCCTCTTCTGTGAGGTTAGACAGTGGGGTGCCTCAAAACCAAGCATTTTCTATTTGTCTTTCATTTTCCCACTGAAGAGTTAATGCTGTAATGTCACCTCTCAAAATCAAGTCCTTGTTCTAAAAAAAAAACTAGAAGTAAATACTCCTCCTTCTCGACGCCTTGGGACTGAGTTTTGTGCGACATCCTCTGCTCCCCTTTCCCCCGTCTTAGTCAGCGACAGCTGGCACTGCCAAAAATAAGCCGTGCTCCCTCAGCCCCTGTGGAGAGGCTGATGGAGGCGACCCTGGCCCTGCATTCTCACAGAGACCGGGTAGCTGTTTGTTTCCAGTGAGCAGAAGCAAAAGAAAATCAACAGAGAGCCATTTCTTGCAGCCAAATTTCTGAATTTATTGTAACTTTAAGACTCATAAAGGCCAGGCATGGCAGTACACACCTGTAATCCCAGCACTTGAGACTGAGGCAGGAGGATCATAAACTCAAAACCAGCCTGGTTTAAAAGAGCTAGAGATGCAGCTCAGTGAGAGAGACCTCACTGGCTCTGAGAACTCCTGTACTGCAAAAAGACTGAGGAGGGCATAGCCCTTATCTCATCCCTGATGTCAGGGGAGAGCGCTTGGTCTTTCTCTGGTAAGGATGATATTAGATGTAGACTTTACATCTGTTGTTAGCTGATCTTTCTCTGACTGGAGAAGTTTTCTTTTATTCCTTGTTTGATGAGAACTCAGTAACAATGAACACTGAATTTTATCAGCTGCTTTCTCTGCACTCACTGAGATGCATATGATTTTTTTTCTTGCTTGCATTGCAAATGCTGAATTGCACTGAGTGATTCAAATTATGGAGTCTCTTCTGGCAGCCAAAACTGTCTGGCCCTTTCCAGCTCACTTTGAAGCTCTGTAATGATGGCTTCATAGCTGCCTAAACCCAGGGCTCATCTAGCCCCACTCCTAAGACTTTCAAGGCCTCTACCTATTGGGTCATCCACGCACGGTAACAGCTCTGCCTTAAAAGAAGTAAAAAAATGATTAATTCTGAGCCAGACATGAGTGACCATGGCCACAAACATGATTCAGATTTCACTGAGTCGTGATCCAAAGTGAAAGAGGTTATGTCAACTTTTCTAACCAAAGAACAAAGAAAATCACAAGTCAATAAACATATTCAGTGGCTACATTAGCAGGAGCGTTAGGTCGCAGGCTACAGCAATGGGGTGGGTCTTCTCTAAAGACTCGGGTGCTGTAGCAGTCTTCTTTTGAGACTCCGAAAAGCTAGAAATCTGATGAGCGTGACACATTCTGAGCACACCTAACATGAGAATATGAGGTCGGCTACAGAGGCCCACCATAAGGAGATTTAGTCTAGAGAAGCCTGGGAGAATCCTGGCTGAGGACACAGGATACACCACCTCTCAGGCAGTCATCACGTCCCACACAGCTGTGGTCAGTCTGCAGGGTCTTTAATACAGATGCGGCAGGTCCTGATGAAATGAAACTTGGGATTTTAAAATTGTACTTTTTTTTTTGAGACAGAATCTCACTGTATAGTGCAGACTGGTCATGAACTCACTGTGTACCTGAGGCTGGCCTCTGACTCAAGGCAATCCTCCTGCCTCTGCTTCCCGAGTGCTGGAATTACAGGTGTGGTCTGTACCACCATGCCTGGCTTAAAATTGTACTTTTAAGAAAAAAAACACAATTTCAGGAAACTCAAAAACATTGCTTAAAACACAGTAAGCCTGGAACTTGGGCTCTGGACGATCCTTTTCGCCTGTAAATTGCACATTCTTCCCCCTCAAGGAAACAACAATACTGGCAGGTGATAGATCTCAATGTCCTCTGCTGACCTATAATCCCAGCACTCTGGAAGCAGAGGCAGGAGGATCATGAATATGAGGCCAGTCTGGACTGTACAGTGCCACCCTCTCTCAAAAAAGTAAAAAAGAAAAGGACTGTAAACAGAATATAAATGCCCATACAACAACAGTGCCAATGTCTCTTGATGTGGGTCTTGTGCTGTAGCCTAATAGATGTTTTTCCTCTTTCAGGGCTGGCTGGAGCTACAGGAAATCCAGGGGAGAAAGGCGAGAAGGGAGACCCTGGTGAACTGGGCTTGCCTGGAAATGAGGGTCCCCCAGGGCCGAAGGGCGAGAAGGGGGACAAAGGAGATGTGTCCAATGACCTGTTGCCGGCAGGTAGGGGCCGCCCATCCCTGCCCCAGCCTGCGTCTCACAACCTCCCATAAGGGCAACACTGAACCTGACCATTGCATTCAATTCAGTTCTCATTCAGCTCTGTTTGACACCGGAATTGTGGAAAGAATCAAGTTCCTAAACCAAGGCACCACTGCAAACTGTGATGCTTATAGTTTTAATGTTTATTACAATAACAGACACATTGCCACTGATCCTCCCAAAACACACTCCCCGTCACACCAGACACACTGATCCTGTGCTTCTTGTGCTTTCTGAAGCAGCTCTGGGGTCCTCTTTCATGAGTATCTTTAACTGTGTGCTAAAGCCACCTCAGGGTCCTGAGTTGATTCAAAACACTGACTTTAGGGAAGTCACATAGTGCCAGATCTGGTGAGCAAGATGGAAGAGGACGTGCTGTGATGGCTTTTCCACTGAAGGGACTTGGCCTCAGCTTTCACATATTTTTGATCATAGCTCAAAAAGCCATTCACAAAAGAGGACACTCAGAACTGCTGCTGAACACACCGAGAACAATGGGATAAGTGTGTTAGAGACGAGGTGAGAAATCTGAAGGAGATTCATGGCCATGTGCCTGTTACCGTGATAAATTTTTACAAATTGAAACACTCACCGTATACTTAGATGCCTGCCCCTTGCACGCCCAGTGTATCACACTCCCCTGCTGCTGGAGTGAGGGGTGTCACCAAGGCCTTCTGGGATCAACACGGCCCTGGAGTGTTGAGCATACTGCCAGGCTGAGACCAGGCCGGAGGTGGGCCCTCTGCTGGATCCGAGGGGGATAGAAAGCCTGCAGACCTCTGTCCTTCCAGAGTGGTCAGAGACACAGCTCCAGCCTCCCTTCACCTTGGCCCCCCACCTGTCCACTGTGGAGATCTGAAGGCAGTCGCCTAGTCTGGCTGGGGTGACACAGTGCAAAAGCCCTGGCCTGTCTAGTCTCCACCCCAGAGGGGAGACTCAAAGGGCCGATGCCCAGGATGGCATCTTCAAGTCAGCTCCAGAACCAGCTCAGCCCCTACTGGGGTTTCACCCACTTTGGTCTCCGGAACTTAGCAGTGTAGCTGCCTCTGTGCCTACAGGGTTAGAGCTGTGAACCCACGCACGGCAGTGACCTCACTGGCTTCCAGAGCATGGGGCGGCGATGGGGAGACTGTAGAGGGGAAGAAGCAGGCCCCAGTGGGGTCCAGTCCTCTTCTGCCCTAGTGAGAGAGCTGAACAGAAGCAGAGACTGGTGAGCTCGCCGCAGGGCCAGGTTCTGCTCCTGTCAGTTGGTCGTGAGGAGCCCACCACAGCCTTCTAGGTGGCGTCTGTCACCCACAGTGTCAAGGAGGGGACATTCATTTGTTGGAGAAGTTTTAGTCCACGCTCAGCCGATGGTGCCGCGGGAGGGTTGGCAGAGGGGAGCAGAGAGCACAGAGAAAAAGTGGGATTCACCCTTCCAGGCCTCACCCCAGCAACCCGGCCTCTCCTAGTCCAGTCCTTTTCTGAAAGCCCCACCTGGGGACAGCTAGGTTCAAACAAGCAGGTGGTCCAGAAGAATGACACGGAGAGATTGTGAAAGTCTCAGCACAGCTCCTGCCTGTGACAGGCCCCCGACAGTCACTTCCGGGAAGATGTGAGCTCAGCAGGACCCCAGAGCAGCCACTTACCCCTCAAGAGAACCCTGCTCTGCGAAGAGCACTGCATCAATTTCTCTCTCTCTCTCTCTCCAGGTGCCAAAGGTGACCAAGGCCCCCCCGGCCCACCTGGGCCCGCAGGCCCTCCCGGCCCGCCCGGGCCCCCTGGAAGCAGAAGAGCCAAGGGCCCTCGGCAGCCAAACTCGTTCACTGGCCAGTGCTCAGGTCACCAGCCCCTGCCCCAGGGTGCCCACCATTCCACCAATGCCCCAAACTCTGGTCCACACCCACCCCAGGCTTTGCGGTCAGATTTTCTAAAACAGAGGGAGATCTTGCCCTGAGTGCACGTTCCCCATGGCAGCCGCTCACGGGTGCTCTGGGCAGTCTGTCCCGGGAAGGAGGAAAGTGGGAGCATGGAGCCTCTACCCCCCCAACTCCTGCCTCTCCCTGTTCCTCACTGCCCCCTCCAAGCCCCTGGAAGGTGAAGCTGCTGCCCTTCTGTAGCAGAGATCACCCAGGAGAAGAAGGCCTCATGGAGGCCTGGGCAATGACAGGACAGTGGGTGGGTGCCCTAGCACGGATGTCACCACAGTCAGGGGAGCCCCACCCCAGTCCTGCACCACCCATGACTAATGCTGATGAGGCACCAGCTGTGGGGCGAGGTCCTTTGTTCTGTTCACTCTCACAATTGTCCTACCATATGGTCTCTGCCTCATGGTTCAAAAGTGGCACCTGAGGGCCAAGCCCCTTGTCAAAGGTCACTGTGTTGGGGACTCAAATCCAGGCTGCCTGCCTGTGCAGCCCCAGCTCTGAGAGCATCTTCCTTCCAGAGAGGGAAACAACATCCAGGGACCTGGCCCAGCCACCCAAGCGTGGGGAATCCCTGAGGTCTCGCAGGCCCAGAGGACTGTCCTTCAGCTGGGACCCTGTGAGATCACATGTGCATTAGAATTCAAAAGTCAGAGGAGTGGGAAGTGTTTCTAGGCGACTAACGCTTACTCCAGGACCAGCTGACCCAGGCAGGCAACCCACCTTCCTCCAAGAAGGGCGCCCTGTTTCCACAGGAGGACCTCTTAGGGCCCAGCACCCCACTGTCCGAGTAGGACCTGGACTTTCAAAGATGTCACCACCTGTCCCCAGGGGGGTGCAGCCTGCTAACTGTTCTGTCCCTCAGCCAGCCGAGGGGGCTGATATTGAATGGCAGAAGTCTCTTCTCTCCTTCGCCCCTGGGAGCCCTGTCACCTGGGAGGAGAGGTCTGATCTGAGCTTTCTCAGAAACCCTGTTTGCCAGAGGGTCTGCACTGTCCACCATGGTGACACACATCTTCCTGAGAGGCTATGTCTCCCCCTTCACCAGAGGAGGAGCCCTGCACTGAAGGCTTAGCCCTCTCCCTCCCCAATGCAATTTCTCTCACGCCTTTTAGTCCCCAAGCACACAGATCACAGGCAGCACGAACACAACAGCTCAGAGACTGCTGTTCTCTGGCTTCAGCTGGAGACCTTGGCAAGCATGGCCTCCTGGCAGCAGTAGGGGGGCTGCCCTTTCTGTCTCAAGGTTGCCCAGGGGAGCAGATCTGGACCCTTCCAGAGCGTCCAGCTGGCCACAGGCCACATGCCTGTCGCCTGCCCACAGGCTGCCACACTCCCCCCACACCAGCTTCACTATTCAATAACAGGACTGTCGGCAAGGCAGGTGGCCTCCAACCCCCTGAACCAGGGCCCCCATCCTCATGCCTTCCACAGAGGATTGGCAGGCCAGGAATAGTGGCCCCAACCCTTTGGTTCCTTCCTCCTTAGAGGCTCTGACATCTGTCCCAGGATGACCCATGAAAGCGGGCCACCTTATTCTGAGGCTGCACCTTCCCAGCTCCTCCCTGCTCTCCTGAGAGTGAAAATCCTTCCAGAAGAGTCTGCTGGAAACCCTGCCTCTCAGGGAGACCGAGATGTCACCAGGCCTCTCTCTCCCAGTGGCTGAGGGCTCTGACAGGCTGACACAAGCCCCTGAGTCCCCCTTGCTGACCACTGTGACTCCCATGTGTCCCCAAGTACACATGTTGGAAACTGAATGCCCTATGCAATTGTGATGGCAGGTAGGGTCCTTAAGAGGGGACTCAGTCGTGAGGCCTCGGCCTTCATCCATTATCACAGGAGAGGGAGGGTTCCTCACAAAGGAGATCCCATGTGGGACATCCTCACAGTGTGACATCAGACACTGCCAAGGCCCTCGCCAGAGCCTGCCTTCTGTCTCAGACTTCTGTCTCCTGAGCCATGTCTGTCATAAGCTGTTCAGTCTCTGGGGTTTCCCCAGAGCAGCACAAAACAGACAGGGACCCCAGTGTCCCCTCAGGATTGTGCTGTCCTAGCGGCTGTGGTCATGCAAAGCTCATCAGAAGCTCACTGAGTAGGGGGACGTGGAAGCACGTGGCCTGGGGGTACAAGAAAGCTGGTGCACTCATGTCACAGGGATGCCGTGGGCCTGGGGCCTAGAACAAGCCAGCGGTAGCGTAAAGCTAGGTCATCCCCTGTGCCAGCCAGGCCTGCTTTGACATTGCTGTTTCAGGTGAGACATGTGCTGTACCAAATGATGACACCCTGGTGGGAAAAGCGGATGAGAAAGGCAGCAACCAGAACGCCCCACAAGCAGGTAAGGAGCAAAGCATCTGGGACCGGCCGCAGCTGGGGCTGGGCACCTGCCACCATGCACAGGCCCTGGGTCGGATCCCAGCACAGAAAAATGGAAAAGAAAGACAGCACCTTGTTTTGAGGTTCAAAAACTGAATGCCTTGCTTAACTCCTGAGTGGTAGTCATGTGCTTTGTTTTGCTTTTTGCTTTTGGCAGAATCCCTGATCGCTTCCATTGGAAACCCAACGCAAGTCCTGAAAGTGACAGAGACGTTTGGGACGTGGATAAGAGAGTCTGCCAACAGGAGCAATGACCGGATCTGGGTGACCGAACATTTCTCAGGTACCTGTATGACTCGCCAGACGATCTGAGCCTGTGTTGTGGCCATGATTCTCCCCTCCAGGGAGTCTACTTCCGTGAGTAACCAACGCCCTGCTATTCTCAGCCTGATTGATGGCCTCCTGCTTTAGAAAGTGGGCAGAATGCTTTCCCTCTTAGAACACACCAGTGGCAGCTGTGAAATTCAGGTTTCAGGGGTACCACCAGGGCACCCCAGAGCAGCCCGTCCACCCAGACACAGAGTGAGCAGGAGGAACGGGTAGCATGGCTGCTGCAGGCTTCTAACCGCAGCCTCCTCCACGTGGAAGGAAGTCAGCTTCCGCTGCCCCGTCTTTCTCCAGGGCTGCCACCGTCCTAGCAGTGCGCTTTGGCCACCTTTTCTAGAGTGTCTCTTGGATGGACAGCCCAGGGAGAAGGCAAAGGGCCACCATGCACACGCATGAGCTTGGCCTCGTCACAGTGTCCCAGAGGGAGGTGGCAGGAACTGCTCGAGTGGTCACAGCTGCTTCCTTCTGGAAGGAAGTGCACTGGTTGGAGAAGAAGCTGCCAAGAATCAGCTTCTGCATTTCACCAAGGCTCAGCTGCGAAGGCCTTGGGGTGACAGGAACTGGTGCCCCGCACGCTGACACAGTGTACTGGCAGCAGCCGTGCCAGCCGGGTGGCTGCAGCAACCCCACAGTTTACTGCCCCCTAAACACTGTAATTCTGGGACAGCTCCTTCAGAAAGACTTTTTGGGGTCCCACAGGGCTGCCCTGGGAGCATGGGAAGAGGGAATGGGAATTTGCTCTAGCCCCTCGACTCATGCAGCCCTGTGCCGCCTCCTGCAGGCATCCTGGTGAAGGAGTTCCAGGACCGGGCCTCGCTCCTGAACGGCAGCTACTCCTCTGTCCTGCTGCCATCCTACTTCCACGGTTGTGGGCACGTGGTCCACAATGGTGCCCTCTACTACCACAAAGGCGGCTCCAACACCATCGTAAGGTGAGGCCCTGCCATGTCCCAGGGCTGGCACACACTCTGTGCTCCCTCGGGGTCCCACGATGCCAGTCAAGGCCCAGGGGTCTGACACCACATGGCACCAGCAGCAGGAGAGGTGACCAGAGGGCGGCTGGAGCCCAGCTGTCCTGCCTGGAGAAGGGAACCGCCTGGTCCAGGGCTCCCAGAGCGCAGTTCTGCTTTGTGGCACTGGGACACAAGGAATTTCTTGTCACAGCTGAGATCACTGGAGGAGAGGGACTGTGACTCTGAGTCAAGAGTCTTCATCATCCTGATGGGGCCCGTGGAGGGTAGCACAGCCCTTCTCACTACCTTCCCCGGGGATGGGGGAGAGTCCCCAAGCAGGGTTTACCTTCCTGTGCCCCTCGGACACTGTGGAAGGTCAGTCGTCACCAATGCAGGAGAAATAAGCTCCAGGCTTTGGAGGTAGGAACAGTAATCTTGGGCAAATCAAGAAAGAGGTACACTAGAGACCAGATGCAACAGCACCTCCTGTGATCCAGCACATTGGGACGCTGAGGCGGGAGGGTCACAGATGTGAGTCCAGCCTGGACAATGTGGTGACTTAGCCAGATCCTGCCTCACAATAAGGACAGGGGACATAGCTCAGTGCAGAGGTCCTGGGTTCAACCTCTGTATGGCAAAACAAACAAATAAGAACCATAGGCCAGGACACCTGATTTCTAGTCTGACTCTTTCACTTCCTCTGTGCCCTCAGACAAGAAAGATGCCACCTGCATGGTCTCGGTGTCCTCAGTAAAGAGATGGGACAAGAGCCTCTGGGTCCTCCCAGCCATACCATGGGAAACAGGGGTCTAGGGTCCTGGACACCCAGGTCCACTCTTTCCCGCCCTCCACGGTGAGGCCCTGCACCCTGACCTTGTGGTCTTTGAGTCCCCCTTAGAGGCCCTGCCCAGGAGGACAGCAGGTCTGCGTGCTGCTGAGAGCCACCCCAGACACGGACCTGCTGCACCGAGCAGCACTGTTGTCACGGGGGCGGGATGGGGCACCCTGCCCCATGTCCTGCCCCATGCCCGGCGGCTTGGGAACCCGGGCCACCCGAGCCTCGCCTTGCAAGGCCGCAGCTACCCAAGCCCCGGCCCGGAGCCCTCAAGCTCCTGTCCTAGGCCTCCTCCATTCTCGGGCTTTGCAGTGCGCTGCGGGTGCGCAGCGTGGCATCCGGTGCTCTACGGCTCGATGGCGCCCTCTGGTGTTCTTTTTTTTACCTCGCGTTCCTGCGTTCTCATCCCGCGTTCAGGCGGTTTTGGAGTCATGGTGTCTTTCATACATCCACTGCATTTGGGTCCTGCCATAGTTTAGCTTGGCAGCCACTCGCCGGCCAGAACTCTCTGCAGACCTCTGCCTCAGTGATAGCTCTTCTGTGCGGGGACATTTTTCTTAACTGAGATTTTTGTGGAAATTTTTTTCCCAATATTCCAGCATGGAGTAAAAGATTAATCACCACAGGGAGTTAGAAAACTTGAGCCAGCCACTGGTCCTGCTGCCTGGATTCGGGCAGGCCACTTTTCTGTCCTTCATAAAATGAAAGGATCGGGCCAGGTCATTGTCCCGAGCTGGGCTCTGAGGATGGTGGGAGGGCATCTCAGGAGCAGGCGCTGGGGAGGCTAGACGCTGATGCCGGGGAGCAGTGTCATCACCCCACCGCGGCCTCCTGCGTCCCCTGCACACAGCCCACAGCATATACACAAGGTCCCGGCAGAACAGGCTTCCCGGGGGGCTGGTTAGCAGTGCGTGGCCCACCCAGACCGACAGACCCAGGGCAGCAGGAGCCTGAGGAGCCAGGTCACGCCTGCTTTTCCTTCAACATATTTCAGGTTTGAATTTGGCAAAGAAACATCCCAAACACTGAAGCTGGAGAACGCCTTGTATTTCGATCGGAAATACCTTTTCACAAATTCCAAGACTTACTTCAACCTCGCCGTCGATGAGAAGGGCCTTTGGGTCATCTACGCATCCAGCGTGGACGGCTCGAGCGTGGTTGTCGCGCAGCTGGAGGAGAAGACATTCTCCGTGGCGCAGCTCATCAACACCACATACCCCAAGTCCAAGGCCGGCAACGCCTTCATAGCGCGGGGCATCCTCTACGTCACGGACACCAAGGACATGAGGGTCACGTTTGCCTTTGATTTGTTAGCAGAGAAACCAATCAACGTGAACTTTAGCTTAAGAACGTCCCAGGCCGTCCTTGCCATGTTAGCATACAACATGCGCGACCAGCACCTGTATTCGTGGGAGGACGGTCACCTAATGCTTTACCCCGTGCGGTTCTTGTCAGCTACATTAAACCAGTGACCTGCTGCTCCCCTGTCCCCTGGGCGTCCAGCAGAGGATCTCAGGACCAGTGCTTTCACCACAGAAAATCTGTCTTTCAGGGTAGCTGACATTCAGAACAAGGTTTCATGGCCTGAGCATTTGTGTGGTGGGGGAGGCTCCTTCCGGGGCAGATTGCTGAGTGAGCCAGCGGCAGGCTGGAAGTTGAAATGGCTGAGGCTCGGCTGGTGGGCTCACCGTCCTGGCTTTGGATTCCCCATCAGTCACAGCAGCAGCTAGCTGGGATAACTGTGTCATATCCCTACTTGTAGGAAATTCTGATTCTCGGCTGTTACTGTCCTCACAACTTCCACATATCTGTTCTGTTTTGTTTCTTTAGCCACAGTGAGCTGGTTTGCCTTTGAGCTGATAGTCCCTGCTGTCTGAGCAGTGAGTTCCATATTGGATTAGTACCTGGGGCAGGTACGTGGGCTCTAAAGCGCCAGGGTAACCATAGTGTACCACTTCTCGACATGCACTCTGCTGACACAGAATGTCCTTAGCTCCTGATTGCAGCTCTGAGATCAGCAAAAGCCAGAGAGCTACGTGCTCTGCTTACTCAGTGAAACACAATCAGGCTTCGCAGGGTCCTGTCGGTTTCTGATGCTGTTGCTCTGGCCCTGAGGGTTGTAAATGCTGGATCCTTGGGTCGTTCTGCAGTGACAGATCCCTTCAGAGCAGTAAACCTGCATCGAGGTGGTGGGCAGTTTTCGGAAGAGAGGCGCCTTTGTACTCTGTGTCTGGAGCAAGGCTGGGCCAGCTGGCTCCAGGGCCAAAGCCAGCCGCTCGCCAGGTGAATGCAGCATTACTAGTGTGCAGCCATGTGGGTGGTAGTCCTCTCTTCCTTCCACTGCGCAGACAGCAGCAGAGGTGAGAGGTGGCAGCAGAGACCACAGTACACTGTGCTGTGGAGGACAGAATGTGCCTGATTCTCGGTGGCCTCACCACAACCTGCTTTGTTTTGTACCGACTGAGACATAGCATTCTGTCCCGCTGGGTCCTGGCAGAAGAGGCAGAGATGGCAGGACGTGTGTGGCGCCCTCTGACAGGGTCCAGTGTCCCTTGCTTCCAAGCACACCGCAACAGTGTGCCTCCTACCAGCTCGGCTCTTCAGGCATCCTTCAGCCCAGCACAGAGTGCCAGGCGGAGCAGAGAAAGAGCTGGGACCAGGAAGGGCCTGGGGTTGCCCTGCAGTGAGGTGGTCAGCAGCTTGCCCATGCACGCAGTGTGCCATAGCCTCCACTGCCTCTGTGGCCTTGCGTCCTGTTTCACACCTTACTAATGGAAATCTAAAAGAAATCTAAACTTCAGGGCCGCGCTGATTGAAATATTTGAATCTGTTCATCCCTGAAACTAGCCAGGCAGCTGCTGATGTGTTTGCTCTCGAGTTCTCAAGATAGTGGTGTTTGACCCTCCCATGCTTTTGAGTTAGAGGTTCTGTCGTGCTACATAGTTTGAAAAAATACCTTTTTCAGGTTCACAGCCTGTAGTGAGGCAATGTCCTGTTTGATCAGTGTGTCTAGTGAGCGCAGGTGTTCTTCATGGTATTTACATACATGTGCTGCTGTGTCCGGGCATCACAGCGCTAGGTGTGAGTGTAATTTCATAACAACTAACTGTGTATATATAGCATAGCCAATGAACAGTTTATTGAATTAGCACATATTCCTTATATTCCTTTTAGGAAAATGTTTTAACGTCACCAGTTTTGATATTTAATTTTGATATTTGATTGTGTATTGGGGTTCTACTCTCCCTCTTTCTTGTGTGTGTGTGTGTGGTGTTTTTTTTTTTTTTTTTTTTTTGAAACAAGATCTTATACTATGTTGCACAGGTTGGTCTCAACCTCCTAAATTCAAGGAATCCTCCTGCGTCAGTTTCCCCCGTAGCCAGGATTATGGGCTCACAACACCATGCCGACTCCCTGGCCTCCTTAGCAGTGGGTAATGAACTCTACAGTCACCGTTACAGAAGCTCAAACTGGGGTATTTTTAGTTTGTATAGTGGCATAAGGATGACTATGGTTAACCAGTGTCTAATGGGCCAGGGTTAGTAATTGTATGTTCTGGTTGACAGTTTGAACAGAATTAAAAGAATTAAGATTTTCTTTTTTCCTGAAAACAGTACTTGGGTTTTTTAAAAACTTTGGGATTCACTGCCATAAACCTGGTGTCTATAAGTCAAGACAATGCTTCGGTGCATAGTATTCTAATGTTTAAGATGAAGCTCACATTCTAATAGGTAACCAAAGTTGCTTCAAAGCCCTTTGCAGATATCTACACTTCTGATGTCAGAATCAAACCAAATAATTCTGCAATTTTCTGGAACCTAAAGGAGATAGCTTCCCACGGGAAAGTAAATAAAGCCAGCCCTGCCGACCTCAAAGCCCTGCTGGACCCTCTTTCAAAGCATTTTTTCAAGCTGATAAGGTGTAGAGCTGAAACTGCAGGTGGCCTGGCTTCAGGGTATCTCTAGGTATAGGAGTTAGATAGGCAATGTTGTGGGCTGAAGTTTTCAAAGGAGCAATCGTGACCTGGGGCATCTCCAGTCCTCCTGCCCACCAGGTCAGAAGGCAGAAGGGTCCCACACACACAGGCACATTCTGGGCTGCCCAGGACACCTGACAGCACAGCCCCAAAGGAAGAGAGGCCACGGAGCTCTGTGGATGTCCTCTGGCCACTTGACCTTGTGGGTCACCCCAGGAGCCTCAGAATTCCCTGTCTCTTAATACAGAGCCCCAGTATAGTTCAAATATCAAAACTGGTGACTTTAAAACATTTTCCTCAGAATTCCCTGTGATGCTGAGTGACAGATGAATAATGACAATCTAGTCAAATTTTTTAAACTACTGTTATTTTACCTCTTATTAATTTATGTACAGTGTTTTAAAAATTATAACGACCCCAAACAATATCAAGGTGAATAATATCAGTTGCTCCTCTGTAGAAACTCACGTGGGGTGGGTCCTCCTGGCTACCGAAAAACAGTCATTGGCGTGGACAGTTTTTGCTGTCAGAAAGCCCAGAGCGTGGAAAGCTAGCAGCTAGGGCTAGATGTGCACAGACGGAACTGCAAAGGAGGTTTGCTGATATACCAGCGTGACCAAGGCAACTAACCAAGGATAAAAACGAGATCTGTGGGCTGGGGAGATGGCCCGGTGGCACAGCACCTGCCTGGCAAGCACGAGGTCTTGAGTTTGATTCCTGGTACTTCGGCAGGCAGCTGAGTTAGTTAGAAATATTATAGGCAGTGAGACAGGGCTAGGCCCTCAAGAGAGCCCATGCAAACACCTTGCAGCTGCAGGGAGACAGACACCTCCTGCTGTGGGCCAGGCCTCAAGACAAAGGATCAAATAAGTGCATCCACATCCTGGGGACTGATACTCTAATTAGTTCCTTCTCATCCTGGAGTCACTACCCCATTCCTCTGGGGAAAGGTAACAGCTCCAAAATGGCCGTTTCCTATTTGTCCCTAATGTAATCAATTTTACCTAAACTATTGATCTTATTGGCTAACTATAGTTATGTCCCACCTTATGCCCATCTGCCTTGTGAGTTCCCAGTCTTCCCCACTTTGAACCCATAAAAGTCCCTGGAAAAGACAGAGTTGGGGGCAACTCACTCAGGACCCCCTTCTGTCTCTCTTCAGACAGAGGCTTTCTGTCTTTCAATAAATGTATTCTACTCTTCCCCTCTGCTGTTCTTAAAATTCATTCTTTGATTTTAGAGAACAAAAGCTCACGGACAAAGTAGGTTGGGAGTTTCATTCCCCTACATCAATACAAAAAAAAAAAAAAAAAAAACACCAAAAGCAAGATATGTGTGAGTCCGGAGCAGGGTCCTTCATCCTCCAGAGCTTTGGTTTCATCTGTAAAAAATAAAGTACTATTATTTACCTCCCTAAATGTTTCTGTGTGAAATGCTCTGCAAATCATTCAATTCTTGGCAAATCCTAATTTTACTTTTGTAGTTTGCCCCTGTAGGGAACCAGAGAGACACTACTCTCCCTGTCTAATTGGGAGCCACAGAAGCAGACTAGGGACAGGCATCAGTCACTTCCTCCTGCTGGTCTGTGAGATCAGGAAGCAGGCGCTGAAACAGTAACCTCTTAGTAACCCAGGAAAAACTGGGGCCCACCCTGGAAGTGCTGGCCAGCAGGCAGCGCAAGCTCACCTGATGACGACCTGTAACAGAAATACAGCGCAGTGTGCTCGAGAAATATGGTGAACATTGGAGGGGTTTTTTCCCTTTATTGCAACAAAACACGCATTACCTGCTTTTCCGCAGGAGCTCTGGAGTCCTCTGTCCTGAGGGTCTTTAGTTGCACTATCCTGGCTACCCCGATGTCCTGACTCCATCAAAACATCTCCCTTTCATGGACACCCTGACTTTGGGGAAGAGCCAGAGGGTCACACATTGCCCGATGCAGTGAATAAGGTGGGTGAGGGCTCAATGTTATGTTTTTACAGACAGAAATGGCCATAGTGTCTGAGTAACAAGAGGAGTAAATTAAATTAAAAAACTGATCACAGTGAGAGACGCAGTGCCACTGATCCCCTCCGATCCACCTCTTCTCTTCAAACACACTTATCCTGTCGCTCTTGGCAATACATCCCTGAGCTCTGTTAAAGATCAGCTTCCTTTCTAGTGAGGAGAGAAAGCTTAGTGTCCTATCGCAGCTGAAGCTGACAGCAGCCAGTGCTTTCCAGGGGCAGGGATTGTAGAGCCGAGATGGAGGGCAAGTTTGATCAATGAGAATGTTTTATAAATGGGTATAATGTAGAAGCTCTGGTGTGCTTTACTCAGTAGAGTGACTAGAGAGGATGACAGGGCACTGCATATGTCAAAAACCTAGAAAAGGCCTTGAAACTTTCACCACAGGAAAATGATGTTGTGGAGATCAGTATGCTTATCCTAATTGTTATGGTTTGTGTCTCGTTGTCCCCCAGAGCCTTGTGCGGTTAAAGGGGTTTTTCTGGAGGTGTCTGAATCTAGGGTGGTTATTGATTTGCAATGTGATGCTGCAATTACAGGTGGGTGACTGCTGGGTCAGTCCACTGACTGGCCTGGCACTGCTCTGATCCTGGGAGACTGGATCGAAAGAGGCTTGTCTTGCTCCCTATTGCTTTTGCTGTCTTCTGCCACATTGAAAAGTCACCCCTGTGTCATGTGCCACCCTGCCTTAGAGCTAGCTGATTACAGATGAAACCTCCACACACTGTAAGCTAAATAAACCTTTCCCCCTCTAACTTTGGGCATCAGATATTTTCTCTCAGCAAGGAGAAAAGAAACTAAGACACTAGTTTAAATATTATACAATGTACATGCATAATGAATGATAACATGGAATCCCATAAATATGCACAATGTTTATGTTCTTATAGATAGGCAAAATAAATTCAGTTTAAGACTTTTTAAACTGCTAAGGATTTGCAAACTTCTGAAGCATAGTTCTGTTTTCTCATCAGAATGCTCAGTCTGTGTGTACCCACAGCTGTGGTCCTGGGTTCAGGAAAATGCCGCAGGAAGGCAGACCTATCTGAGGCCTTCCTGTGTGCTTCACCCAGAGAGATACATTTCTGATCAGATAGGTGGAAAGGTGGAGCTACCCAACCGCAACTTCAGCCTCTGTCAATTGTGCCAGCAAATAGGGTTCACTCTGCTGTTTCCACTAGGCCCCCAACGGTCCACTGACCGTCACCCACTCGTCTGCGACAGAGACTGAGGCTGATTCCAGGTCTTCACGACTGAGGCTGGAGTGGCGATCACCACAGGCAGAGGCGTTGCTCCTGTATGCTGACTCCATTTCCTCAGCTGGGAACCCAGGAGTGGGATGGCTGGATCCAGCGGTTCTGTTATTAGCTTAGTTTTGGTGTCTGTTTGGGAAACCTCCAAACTCTTACACAGCAACAACATTCACAGTGTCTAAGTGCCCCGTTTCAGTGTGGGTGGGATCAGTCGCCTTTCTTGTAGCCCAAAAATGAGTCCCCCAGAGCCCCCCAACTTGGTGTCCAAAAATGGGGCAAGACATGTTTTAAAAAGCAGCACTGATTTATTTTATCCTGGGCCCAGCGAAACAGTGCAGTTGGAGTTTACAAAAGCTGTGTGTCCCCCTCAAAACTTTCCAGACTTTTTGTAGAAAACACAATTTACAAAGTAAGGGGTTATGGGCGTGGATCAGGAAATCTGCTAAGGAATGAGGAAGACCTTTGTTTCCCTTTGCAGAGGACAGAGAAGTCTCACAGGAATTAACAATCCTTTGTCAACTTATTTTAGCACTCAATTTTAGATAACGCCTGTCGTTTGCAGAGGGCAGCAATGGTTGACATATCAATTAGGTCAGATTCCCAGAAATTTACAGTTCTTTGCAGAGGGGAGCATTAACGTATCAATTAGGTCACCCAGAAAAATGGCGCATACAGAACAGTATGACGACATTACAGGTACTTTGGTCATATAACTTAGGCATAATACAAACATAACGAAGCTCTTTTTGCTAGTGTATAATAGCCTTCATCATTTCTGATTTGTCAAGTTCATTACTGGTGAGTAGAAAAACTGATTTTTAGTGTGTTGATTTTGCATCCTGCTGCTTTGCTGAATGCATCAGCACTTTGGGGGAGTCTCCAGGTTTTTCTATGTGTCAAATCACACTATCAGTAAACAGGGACACGGGCTCACCCCTTTACTTCTCCTGTGACTTTGACAGCGGTGCCTCGGCTCACAAGTCCAATGCTTTCCATGATTCTGGTCATACATGGAACTGATAAGAACCAAACTGAATTCAGTGGTTAGGTTCAGTGTTGACCTGAGGGGGAAATTCGACCCAGTCCCGACCAGTTGGGTTTGCAACCAGAAAGCAGGAGCCCTGGGAGTGCTCACCTTTGTCTTGTTCCTAACCTTAAAGGAAATGCTTTCGGTTTTCCACTACTCACTGTGGATATCGGGTGAAGGTTTGCCAGATGAAGACATTATAATATTGGGGGGTAAGCTTCTGTACGTAACTTTTTTGTCCAAGGCTTTGGTCATGATGAGGTACCGAATTTCATCAAATGCTTTTCTGTATCTGTTGAGATAAATACGTGGGTTTCACCCTTCACTCTATTCATATGATGTACTACACTTACTGATCTGTGCATGGCGAACCACCCTTGCATCTCTGGAACGAAAGGCACTCCATCGTGGGGTATGATTGTCTTCATGTGCCACTGGTTGCCATTGTAAATATTTTGTTGAGGATTTTTGCACCTATGTTTCTAAGTGACACTGTTTAGTAGTTTTCGTGTGCAGTGTGCGTGTATGTGTGTGTGTGTGTCTGTCTGTCTGTCTGTGTCTGTGTGTGTTGTCATGTTTTGGTTACATAGTAATTCTGTGGAGGGCAGCTGAGTTAGTTAGAAATATTATAGGCAGTGAGACAGGGCTAGGCCCTCAAGAGAGCCCGTGCAAACACCTGGCAGCTGCAGGGAGACAGACACCTCCTGCTGTGGGCCAGGCCTCAAGACAAAGGATCAAACAAGTGCATCCACATCCTGGGGACTGATACTCTAATTAGTTCCTTCTCATCCTGGAGTCACTATCCCATTCCTCTGGGGAAAGGTCACAGCTCCAAAATGCCTGCTTCCTATGTGACTTGCTTTCTCCCATTTGTCCCTAATGTAATCAATTTTACCTGAACTATTGATCTTATTGGCTGACCAGAGTTCTGTCCCACCTTATGCCCATCTGCCTTGTGAGTTTCCAGTCTTCCCCACCTTGAATCCATGGTTTACTTCCTGGAAAAGACAGAGTCTGGGGCAACCTGCTCAGGACCCCTCTGTCTCTCTCAGATAGAAGCTTCCTTTCTCTCAATAAATATATTCTACTCTTCACCTCCGCTGTTCCTAAAATTCGTTCTTCGATTTTAGAGAACACGAACTCTCGGACATAGTAGGTTGGGAGTTTCATTCCCCTGTATCAGTACTGAAAGGATTTTGCCCTAGATAGGATATTACGGCAGTGGGAGGCGGGACCAGGGGACGTTTACCTTGAGGTCAGTTTCCCCTCCCCTATGCAACTTAACCTGTGGTGGGAAGAGTCCCGCTCAGCTACTCACGCATCAGCAATGCCACCTTTAAGTACCACCCCAGTCAGAAACTATATGTCTGCTCCCTACACTGCATTTCCAGCAGAGAAAGCTAGACCCCCGGGGGTCCTGGGATTCTCTCTGTGTTCTTAGAATAAAGGCCATTTTTACTTTATATTCTCTCTTCTACTGCGCTGAAAATCCTATCATTTGGTTTCCCAACCCGGAAGCCAGAGTGAGTGACTCCCCAGTTTGAGTCCCCTGCCAATTCTCAGATTGGCCTGCATCTTGGATTAATTCCTCATTTCTCAACATGAGGGAGTGGCTCAACTTGTCACCACCTACAAACAACACCGGCCTAATTCATTTACCTTAGGTGAGCCAACCTCCATCCGAGGGTTTCTCCAGGGGCATGGGCCAGGCTCACGCCGGATTACCCATCCTGTCCCTGGATTGGTTTAGCAGTCCTCATGTTCTTGAGCAGTCCAAGGCAGAGCCGTAATTGTGGTCTTCTGGAACCCCACCATGCCTTTTGGTGATGGTCAATGGGCACAAGTTGGAGCTGTTTCTTTAAATCACACTTCCAAAACAGGTGACTATCTCTTTTGGTCAGGCATGGCCTGGGACACATCCCTTGGGGGAGGGCCAGAGCTCTCAACCCTTAAAGCAAAATTGTCCCTTTTGGCTCACTTTTAATTTGGTCATGGGAAATACTTTTTTCTCTCCCCAACAAAACACCTGGTTCATAACCTTGGTACATTTGGCCTAAAGAAAACCATAAGAATTAAACAATTAATCTTTTACTGCCAGGAGGCTTGGCCAACCTATGAACTTAACAGCAGCCCATGGCCTAAAGAGGGATGTTTGACCCTGGTATTCTCAAAAGTTTATATGACTTTTGTTACACTGGTGACAAGTGAGCAGAAATTTCTTATGTACAGGCTTTCTTTACCCTAAGAACATGCTCTTCTCTCATTAAATCATGTACACCTGCTCAACTGTTTTATCTAACTCTACTGCATCACAGACTTTCCCCTCCTGCCCTCAAGACCCTTTAGACAACGTGCCCCTCCCCGTCTTTAACCCCTCCATTCCTGAGATCAAACCCCGCAGCCTTCTTAGCCAAAGGTCTCTACCCGCTGCACTGTCCTCTCCTCCTCCTTCCCCTAGGGTCTCTAATCTCCCCTAGGGTCTCTAATCCTTCCCTTAGTGTCTCCGACTTCTCCATCCCCCCACCCGAGCCGTCTGTCCCATCTGAGGGTTGTCTCCTTCCCCTGCGTCACATTTTCTCTGCCAGCTCACCATACTTGGTCTCAGGCATTCCAGCCTTGTGGCAGGTCACATGATTGCTGCAGCTAACATGGAGGAAAGCCACCATCTGCGGTCCTCTGCCATGTGACAAGGTGCCGCCATCTTGGGACGGGTCTCATGGTCAATGGCCGCCCCCTGTGGCTCCTCATGTGATCAGCAACAAGCATCCTACTGCAGGTCACATGATGACTCACTGTGTTCCCTGCAGCAGCTAGACCACTGTCATGGCAGCAGCCTGTGTTTCCTTGTCTCGTGGTGGCAAGTGACCGCTTTGTAGCCAGTCATCTGGTAATTACCCACACATGCCTGCCAGAAGTTGGCTGCTCGATGGCCACCTACTCCACAGTCTTCTCCACCTCAATCTCTACTCCCACTTTGGGAACAGGCTAGCTGGAGGGACTCGTTAATATACATGTACCTTTCTCCCTTTCTGACCTATCTCAGATTAGCCATAAGTTAGGTTGCTTCTTGTTGTAACCTCCCCCCCGCAAAACATCCCTGAGATGAAAAATAGGGCAAGACGACGTCTTTTTTAAAAGAAGTGCTTTTATTTTAGCTGGCCCAACAACACAGTGCAGATGGAATTTGCAAAGCTGTGCAACTGAGTTAGAATTTTGACTGATTTTTATAGTTCATTTATGATTAGCTCATTGATCATTAAGTACATAGTGATGATAAACAGAAACAAGGTGGGCCTTTGTTCCCCTTTGCTTGAGGTCAGAGGCATCTCACAGTGAGTGGTTAGCCAATTCATAGCCCTTGGTCTGCCAATTCCAGGAACATTTGTCTCTCATAAAGGGAACAATGGTTGACACAGCATCATTTGTCTCTTACAAGAGGAACAAAGGTTGACACAGCAAACAGGTTACTGGGATGGGAGGGAACCACACATACAGCACAGCATGACAATGCAGTCAGTTAATCTGTAACTATGTGGTTGGTACATGGTTACTAGGGTAACAAGCTCAGCACAGAATGACAATACTGCTAATAACTATCTTCTTAACTAACTATTTTTGCTAATAACTGTCTTTTAATTAACGATTTTAAATTTTTGGCATTTTAGTACAACACTTCTCTGTTGATCCACAGAATTATATCAGAGAATTTGAATTTATAACTAATTGTTATGGTTTACATTTTAAGGATATTTATGTGACTTTGAACTCCACCCTCAGCTCACAAGAGCAAGCTCAGCTGTGGCAAGGAGCTCGAGAAGAAGCAGATTGGCAAATAAGCAGATAAGGCAAATACCGCTGAAAATGACCCTGGGCCTACTGCAGTCCCAGAACAAGATCCTAACTGGAATTACCAAAGTGGATAAGGTTCTTATAAATTATATAAGATGATTGAATGTCTACCTGTGGGCCTTAATAAAATTGCTCACAAACATACTAACTATAACAAACTTTTAGAACAGGTTCAGGAGGCTAATGAAAATCTAGCTGTGTCCCTAAATCAGCTTAGGGACACCTTAATTAAGTTTACTACTGTAAACCCAGACTCTCCTGAAAGGATGATTGTTGTTAACTCTTATTTTATTTCTCAGTCTGCTCTTGATATTCCTGCAAAGTTACAAAAGGCTGAACATGGCCCTCAAACCCCACAAGGAGACCTTCTTAATTTAGCTTTCCATGTTTTCAACGACAGAGAAAAAACTCAAAAAGAGGAACAAAAAAAGAAATTTGCTAAATATCAATCTGATCTCTTAGCAGTAGCACTTGGGGCTCCCAAGACAGGAAAGCCAAAACAAGGCAGAGCTGCCCAAGCCCTTCCTGGACCATGCTTCAAGTGCAGCAAAGAAGGACATTGGGCAAGACAGTGCCCCGATCCTGGTGTTCCCTTGGGGCCTTGTCCCTATTGCAATCTCAAGGGCCACTGGAAGACCCACTGTCCTAGCCGCCAGAGGGCGGGTAAACTATCCTCTAACTCCTTGCCCTCACAGGAGACTCCATCACCACCAGATTCATCACTGACTGATCTGCTCAGACTTGCTGCTGAAGATTGATGGGGCTCGGGGCCCACAGCCCCCATTAAGGTGTCCTTCTCAGATCCCCAAGTTCCACTGGTAGTCTCAGGTAAGACACTATCTATACTTGTAGACACGGAGATGAGTTATAGTGTACTTCCTGAGTTTTCAGGTCCTTGTATTAAGTCCTCAATCTCTGTGATGGGTGTTATGTAGCCTTTGCAGACAGGGCTTATTCCATGCAGATTCCAGATTCTCTTCCTTACCCATAGCTTCCTAGTAATTCCAACATGCCCCACATCCCTCTTAGGTAGGGACCTACTTCAAAAGCTTAACTTCTCCTTTACCTTCTCCCTCCCCACAGCTCTGGTCCTCCAGACAGCCTCACAGTGCACGGCAAAGTCATCCCCTCCCTTCCTTCTTCTCTTCTCGATCCCTTAGTTTGGAATACCTCCAATCCCACCCTCGCTACCCATGCCATGCCTATTTTAATTCATCTCAGGGATCCTTCAATTTTTCCTTGTGTTCCCCAATATCCCACAGCTCCAAAACATTTACAGGGCCTTAAACCTATAATTAAGTGCCTTTTACACAATGGTTTTCTTAAACCTACCCATCCACTCCTATTCTCCTGGTACTCAAGCCTGATGGTACAAGACCTTAGGGTAATCAGTAATGCTGTTACCCCAACCTACTCAGTGGTGCCAAACCCTTATACCACGCTCTCTCATATCTCTCCCTCCACCACTCACTTTACAGTTGTAGATCTTAAAGATGCCTTTGTTTTTACCATCCCCCTACACCCTGATTGTCAGGATCTCTTTGCATTTACGTGGAGTGATCCAGAAACTCTCAGGTCTCAACAACTTACTTGGACAGTGCTCCCCCAAGGGTTCAGGGATAGTCACCACTTCTTTAGCCAAGCTCTTGCTACTGACCTTGCAGAACTTGATCTCAAACCTTTCTCCTTCAATACATAGATGACCTTCTCTTATGTTCTCCATCCCATATGTTAGCCAGACAGCATCCAGCTAGTCTCCTTAATTTTCTTGCCAGTCATGGGTACAGGTCTCTTCTAAAGCCCAAATAGCTTCCCCAAAAGTCAAATATCTAGGACTCTCTCTCACCCCCACCACTCGTTTCATCACCACAGATTGTAAGGCTATTCTTCGAGATCTCCAGGGACCCACAACCAAACAACAGGTTACATCTTTCTTAGGTTTAGCTAATTCTTTCATCTGGATTCCTAACTTTGCAGCTCTAGTTCAACCCCTCTACAAGGCTTCTAAATGTCCTTATCAGAACCCCTAGACCCCACTATGCCCATACATGCTTCTTTTCATAAATTAAAAGAGGCTCTCCTAAAAGCTCCAGCTCTTACCCTTCCTGACCCCACCCAACCCTTCACACTATATACTACCTCTGAGGGCCACAGTGCTGTAGGTGTACTAGGACACAAGAAGGGACCTTCTTTTCAAGCAGTAACCTACTTGTCAAAGCAGTTAGACAACACAGTAAAAGGATGGGCATCTTATCTCTGAGCCCTTGAGGCTGCAGCCCTACTGACACAGGAAGATAAGAAGTTTACATTAGGGCAATCTATTCCAGTACACTCACCTCATCACCTAAATGAGCTCATCTCACATAAGGCACTCTCTGCCCTGATGACCCCTTCTCACCTTCAACAGGTACATCTAGCCCTCTCTCAGGACCCTTGTATCTCTGTTGCAACAAGTGGTCCTCTTAATGTGGCAATTTTGCTTCCCACTTCAGAAGGCCACCCCCACTATGACTGTATTGAGGTCTTACAGATGACTCCCACCCCTTTCCCTCACATCAGAAGCTCACCTCTCTCTTTAGCCTTTGATACATGGTTCATAGATGGCCATTCAACAAACACAGACAGCCAAAAAGGCAGGACATGCAATAGTTAACCAGTCAAAAGTTATAGAGACAAATCCACTGCCACCTGGGATCTCTTCCCAGAGGGCAGAACTTATTGCCCTTACAAGGGCTCTTACACTAGCAAAGGACAAAGTCATAAATATATATACTGATTCAAAGTATACATTTAGCATTTTACATTCCCATGCCTCTATCTGGCAAAAAAGGGGTTTTATGAACTCTCAAGGAACTCCCATCATTAATGCGCCTCTTATCCTTAAACTCCTAGAGACACACTACTCCTAAAGCAGGCAGCAGTTATTTATTGTAGGGGACCTCAGAATTCTGCAGATCCCACTGCTCAAGGCAATGCCCTTGCAGATTCACAAACCAAGTTAGCTGCACAAAGGCCCTATCCTTCCCATCTTCTCCCTTTAGTCCCAAACAGAGTACTTTAGCCTAATTATTCACCAGAGCAGCTACAGTTACTTCATAAACCAGGTTACACACAGACACTCAGGGGTGGATTTTCCAGGGATCAAAACTTGTTCTCCCAGATCAGCAGGCCATAGACATCATCACTGACTTACACAACTGTTTCCATGTAGGATCACAGGCCCTATGCAGACACTTAGCCCCAGTAGTTACACATCCTTCTCTAAAGGCTACTATTCTTCAGATTACTCACACCTGTCTTCTCTGTGCTAGGACCTCTCCTCAGGGACATATAGTACCCCCTTCCTTTCCTACTCATCAGTTTCGAGGACACATCCCTGGTCAGGACTGGCAGATAGATTTTACACACATGCCCCACCACAAAACTCTCAAATATCTTCTCACCTTTGTACTTTTTCAGGATGGATAGAAGCCTTTCCCACAACCAGTGAGACCACTGATGATGTAGTTACTAAAGTCCTGTTACAGGAAATCATCCCAAGGTACCTCAGAATATTCAGTCAGATAATGGTCCTGCCTTTATTTCTCAGATCATTTAACAGGTATCCTCAAGCTTATACATCACCTGGCACCTACACATCCCATACCACCCACAATCCTCAGGAACAGTAGAAAAGGCAAATGGCCTCATAAAAACACACCTTCAAAGCTCATTTTAAAACTACATCAACCTTGGCCTCAACTTGTGCCCTTAGCCTTAGCAAAGCTCAGGGCACTTCCCTGGGCTCCTACATCTTTAAGTCCTTTTGAACTTATGTATGGCAGGCCATTCTTACTCCACAATCATCCTGTTCCCCAAAGTCTCCCTCCCCTGGCTGACTATGTCATAGTCCTCTCCTTCCTCTGACACCTGTTCTGACAACATGCTGATCTCTGCCCTCCTCAACCCTCTGAGGGGGCCAAACCAGATCCTCCCATGTCCCCAGGAGTTCTAATTTATTTCAAATGTTCTAAATCCACAGGACTACAACCAAGGTGGAGCGGCCCCTACCTGGTCTTCATGGCAACCCCAACAGCAGTCAAAGTTGCTGGACTGCCATCCTGGTTCCACATCACTCATGCTAAGTGGTGCCCTCCCAACCCTGAATCTAACATCCTGAGTGGTCATCTCATCTTCTGTCCCTCACCTGTCTCCGTCTCACCAAGGCCTCACAGCTGCAACTCTCAGGCTAAGTCATGTTTTGTTATCCAATTTGGTTCCTAATTTCTTACATTCTATTAATTATCCTTTTTACAGCAGGACTCTTGACAGTCTTTCCTAAAGACTCCCACATTGTGCGTAAGATCGTCTTCGTGTTGTTCTATGTGACAACCATCTTAGTTCTCTCTACCCTCAGCTGTTTAGTCAAACCTGGGATCCTTGAAGGCTTAGGCTCTTACCTCTCATAGTGACACAGCCATGGCCCTCCCCACCCCTCTTATTCTTTCCAGCTCAACTCATGGACCAGAGACAAGCCCTACCTACCTACACTCTTAACTTTTACCCTTTCAGATGGGAAAATAATCACCTCTCATAACTTCACTCCTCCTAACCCCACACTTCTTTTTCAGAATTCTACCTCACCATGGTAAGGATTCTCCCTCACCTGGGTCCTTAAATATGACAGTGGCCTGCCTCCTCATCGCACCTTGTCTCTTTGTTTTTCCAGTCTAACATGTGGGCATTCACCAATGATAAAGTTGTCCTGGCTGAAACACCTGGCGCCAGCTTCTGCGTGGGCATCAACCGTCATCCGGTCGACCCTCCTAAACTCCAATATGACACCACCCTTTCAGCAGGAATCAGTAAGAGAGAGACTTCACCCTTTTCCTAACAATAAAAAGAAGGGAATGAAAGGATTTTGCCTAGATAGGACATTATGGCAGTGGGAGGTGAGACCAGAGGACGTTTACCTTGAGGTCACTTTCCCCGCCCTTAGGCAAATTAACCTGTGGTGGGAAAAGAGTCCCAGTCAGCTACTCGCGCATCAGCAATGCCACCTTTAAGCACCACCCCAGTCGGAAACTGTACGTTTGCCCCCATACCACATTTCCAGCAGAGAAAGCCAGACCCCAGTGGTCATGGGATTCTCTCCGCGTTCCTAGAATAAAGGCCCTTTTTACTTTATATTCTTTTTTACCGCACCAAAAATCCTATCAAGTACCAACTTCATGGTATAATTTTGATAGTGTTCCTTCCTTCCTATCATCTAACAGACAAGCACTGGTCCTAGTTCTACTCTAAAAGTTCAGTAAAATTCAGCAATGAGTCCATTTGCTGAGCTTTTCTCTGTTTGGAGACTTTTTATTACGGATCCAGTCAAAGTTGCTGGACTGCCATCCTGGTTCCACATCACTCAGGCTAAGTAGTGCCCTCCCAACCCTGAATCTCACATCTAACCTCACTGCTCACTACCAGTCTGTTCAGGTTTTTACAGCCTCTTGATTCAATTTCGATGGGTCATGTGCTCCTGAATTTGTCTCTGCCTTCTGGGTTTTCCGGTTTGTTGGCGCATAGTTATTTTCTCACGGCCCCTAAGGACCTTTTGCCTGCTTGCCTTTTGTTAGTAAGGCTAAAAGTTTATGGTTTTGTTTATCTTTTGAAGAACCAACTCTTAGTTTCACTGATCCTTTGTTTTGTTCTTTTAGATTGTGGAGTTTTGTTTGTGTGGGTTTTTGTTTTCTGTTTGGGGGTTTTTGTTTGGGGTGGGGATCAAAGTCAAAGCATGACCTTGTGCTGACCAGGCAGGCCCTGTGCCACTGAGCCATAGCCCCAGCTCAAGACTGCTTTACTTATTTCTGCTCTGAGTTTTCTTTTCTTCTAATTCTTGCCTTTTCTAAGTCCTTGAGATGCATCAGTAGGTTATTTGAAATGTGGTTTTATGTAGACACTCATTGCTATAAATTCCTTTCTTAATGCTTCTCTTGCTGTGTCTCACAGGTTTTAGTCTGCTGTTTCCTTTCAAGGAATTTAAAAATTTCTCTTTTGACTTCTTCAGTGATCCACTGTTCATTTAAAAGTGTGTTATTCAGTTTCCATCCATTTATGTAACTTCTGTAGAGAGGGGTTGGAGACAAGGTCTCATTAGATCCTCCTGCCTCAGCCTCCCAAATGCTGGGTTTAGAGGTGTGTACCAACGTGTCCAGTTTCATTTGCATACTTTCTGAAGTTACTCATGCTAGTGATTTATAATTTTATTCCATCATGGTCAGAAAACATACAGGACATAATTAATTTTTCTGAAATTAAGATTTGTCTTATGGCCTCATAGGTGGTCATTCTAAAGAAAGTTCCAGAAGTTCCATGCACTGACATGTATTTTACATTGGTTGGATAGAATGTTCTATAAATATCTGTTAAACCCATTTGATCTATACTATGATGTAACTTTGCTATTTCTTTGTTGTTTTTCTTTTTTATAGTTTTTCTGCATCCTACAATTTTGATCTGGATAATCTACCTCTTGGTGAGAGAAGAATATTTAAATTCCAACTGTCATTGGATTGGAACCTGCCTATCTCTTTGGATCTAACAGTGTTTATTTTATAAAATTGGGTGTTCTAACATTAGGTGCATATAGATTCATAGTCATCTTTTTAATAAATTGATCCCTTTCTAGGCATAATGACCTTGTCTCTTACTGCTTGCTATAAATTAAAAACTGGTGATCATGTAAGCCCTGCCTGGCAAGGTTATGAGTTTGATCCCCAGTACAAAAAAAAAAAAAAAAAAAAAAAACCCCACTGGTGATCAGCTTAACACCAGCTGAATTAAATCAGCAAGGTGATGCATGTAGATGGCCACCTGAGGAAGTTGGCAGCATAAATAGAGACATGGCAAAGAAGAGCCAGGTGTTGTGGGCTCTCCTAAGTGTTGCTGTTTTGAGCCATTGGTTCTCCGGAGGAGCTCATCATGCTGGCCTCCCCATATGAATTCAGACACTATCGTCAGAGGAGCTTGGGGTCTTGTTGGTGAGAGTGGCTGTGGTTCACTTTGGGAGAGCTCTGGTCCTTACATTGAACATTGGTTCCTGGCTCTAGAGGGGAAGATGTGTGCTGTTTAATCACCAGGAGAAGCTTGTCACGCTGGCTTCCTGGCATGCACTTGACTGTTCTCATCATTGGAGGAGCTCAGGACCTCCTTGTCATTGAGGATGACTAGTATTTTTCAGGGAAGCGTTGGTCCTTATTTTGAGCCTGACTTCTCGGCTCCAGTGTAGAACCCTCAAACTACTGGCACAGCTCCTCTGCCCCACTGGCATAGATTTTCTAGCTTCCACTGCTGACCTTTGGGCCTTCACACCACGGATCCATAAAACAGACTGGCATGAGTCCTTGTCGTGGGCTCTACACCTCCAGCTGGATTTGAGGGAGGCATTGTCATGAGCTCCAGATCTTAAACTTGACTTATGCAAGACACTGCTATGGGATCCAGGCCTTTGGCTAAATATTCTGGATCTTAAGTGTTGTGGACAGATTGCCTGCACTTTTTGTGTTCAACCCTGGGTGATCATCATAAATAATATTATAAATTCTATGTCCTGATTGTAATTGTTCTCCTCACAACCTCTGACTACAACAGAAATTGGTACCAGGAGAGTGGGGTCATTACTGTAATGTTGCCTGGCCATGTGGCTTAAGAGCCTTAGAAATTAACTTGGAAAGTTTTTGAGAGACTGGACCAAAAGACAGTGCCTGTATGCTATAAACTATATTGGAGATTCTGGTCAGAGCCTGGAAAACCAGAGTCTGATGGAAATGCTGCCGTTAAGATGAAGCTCGGCAGCCTTCTGTTGAGGAGGACTGCATTGGCTGCTGGAGTCCAGGTAGGATATTGTGCTTTGGCTGAAAGTTGTTCTGTTATTTTGCTTGTATTTAGGATATTACCCGGTGGCAGAAAAATTTCAGTGCAGTCTACTATTGGGATGGTAGCGCAATTGCTCCTGAGAGTTTTTGACCAGATTTATGTTGGAAATTTAGAGCAGAGAGCCAGTGGAGTAATTTATAACATTTTCCCAGAAAGAAGGCTCTAGTGGGACTGCGGCTACAAAGATGAAACAGAGGAGAATATAGTTGTTTAAAGAAACAGGACAATGGAAAAATGAACTGAAGTCTTTCACCTGAAGATAAGAGCATGTGTGAATTGTGGGAGATCCTTATATTTTAGATGCCATGTTAAAAGTTAATGGGAAGCGAGAACTGTGATCGTAATCTTTTAATGTTGTTATTATATATTTTAACCAGATTAGTTAATCAAAGTATTGTGTTTTAATGTTAGTGGTTTTTTTTTTTTTTTGTCTTTTTCATTTTTATCGGTACTGGGGATTGAACTCACGACCGCCTGCTTGCAAGGCAGGTGCTTATGCCGCTGAGCTAAATCCCCAGCCCTTGTGTTTTAATGTTGAACCTTGACCACCCTTTAAATATTTTGTTTTTGTTGCAAGAATAAGTGTAAAAAAATTGCATATATATAATACAATACTGCTTTGAGCCATTGGTTTTCCTGGAGGAGCTCATCATGACAAGCTTCTCCCGTATGAGTTTGACCACTGTCATCAGAGGAGCTCGGACCTTGTTGGCAAGAGTGGCTGTGGTTCACTTTGGGGGAGCTCTGGTCCTTACAGCCAGCTTCGCTTCCTGGCTCTGGAGGGGAAGATGTGTGCTGTTTAATCTCCAGGACAAACTCGTCATGCTGGCTTTCTGGCCTATGCTTGATTATTCTTATCGCTGGAGGAGCTTGGGACCTCCGTGTCACTGAGGTTGGCTGTGGTGCTTTTCAGGACAGCCCTGGCCTTTGTTGTGAGAGTGACTTCTCGGCTTCCGCATAGAACCCTCATCCCACCAGCGCAGCTCCCTCACCCTGCTGGCCTAGACTTTCTGGCTTCCACCGCTGACCTTTGGGTCTTCCCAGCAGATCCGTAAAAGAGACTGGCGTGAGTCCTTGCTTGTGATGTGAGCTACTTGTAGACAGCACATTGTTGTTTCTAGTTTTTAATCCATTCCACTAATTTGTGTCTTTTAATTGGAAAATTGAGACCATTTACGAGTTATTGATGGATTTGTCCAGATTATGGGCTTGTCTCTGTAATTCAGCTGATTTTCTTCTAGTTATTTTGAATATTCCTTGATTCTCCTCTCATTTATCTTTGTGGTTCAGTAGTTTGTCATGTTGCTTTTTGATTCTTTTCTTTTTATTTGTGTGTCTATTCTTCTAGTAGAGATTTTACATACTACATTGATGGTAGATGCTTATCCTCCAAAAGAATTTTAAGACTCCCTTAAAAATGTTTGTCTGTTGGTCATCAATTCTCTTAGTTTTTGCTTATCTTGGGAAGTCTTTATTTTTCCTTTGATTTGTAGGAAAACTTTGCTTGGTATCATACTCTTGGGTTGGCAGTTATTTTTTTTAAGACTTGAACACATCATTCCATGCCATCCTGACCTATGGGGCTTCTGCTGGGAAATCTGCTGTCAGTCTAATGGATTCCTCTAGAATGTAACTTTGTGCTACAATTTCACATACTTCAAAGTCCTTTCTTTGCTATGTATTTTTGCACATCTACCTGTGATATGACATGGTGAGGATCTTTTCTGGTCTTCTATATTTGGAGTTCTGTAAGTCTGCTGTGCATAGACTTCACCCCTTTCTCAAGATTAGACACATGTTCCACAGTTTCATTAAGTTTTCTGCAGTGTTGACTTTTATCTCTTCCCCTTTGAGTACGCTGATAACCTGGATGTTTGATCTTTTTTTTTTAATTTTATTTAAAAGGAAAAAGAGAAAAACACAAAACAAAACAAAGTGGTGTAAGGGTACACGTAATACAGAACTACAAAAAAAAGAAAAGAAAAGAAAAAAAAACAGTAAGAAATCACCTGTTAATAGATTACATATTAACATCTTAGAAATAGTTGCTCAAATCACAGTATCAAAGAATACAAAGTGGACATTCAAACAGAGAGACTGCAAACAGCTGTGTTCAATGATCCAAAAACATTAATATAGTCAGCTATTTAACACCCCTAAACACACTTGCTATTATATCCATTAGAGCTCTTTTTTACAACAAAATTTACACATTTTGGATTTTATTACTCCTTAGTTCTTATTACTTTTTAGGGGGGGGGAGAATAAAGTCAAATATGGCAAAACAAAGCTGTCAGGCAAAACCAAGGATTGACATAGCACATGATGTAGAACAGAGTACAAGGTTATCAACAATGGTTATCAACGTTGTCTCTTGTTTCCTTAAAAAGAATTGTCTATTTCATTAGATATTATAAAGTTGAACAAAACAGTAGAGAACAAGACCAATAAAATTTAGGCATTGTAAACATTACAGGACTTCCAAAGGAGACAATAGTCAAACCAGAATGGGCATCTTAGTGTTTGATCTTTTAATGATGTCCGACCTTGTATGCTTTCCTAATTCATATTGTTAGAATTTCTGTCTAAATGTGATATTTTAAATTCTGATATTCTTCTATTTGGTCTAGTCTTTTATTCAGGCTTTCACCTGAAGTTTTATCTTCTGGAGTTCCTCATTTCCAAGATTTCTGATCTTCGAAAATCTTTCCTGTGTAAATTTCTCATTTATATCCAGTTAACTTCATTTAAGTTTTCATCTGTATTGTCTTAAATCACATTGAACTTTCCTAAAATCGTTCTTTTGAATTATTTTCAGGTCTTGCATCCACTTTGGTATGTGTTACTAGGGTTGAGAGCCCTGGGGGTGTCACATGCTCGTTTGTGCCCCTATATGGAGGTTTGTGCATTGGGCAGATAGATCTCTGCAGTTTTGTGGTTGGCTTCTCAGAGGCCGCTTGCTCCTTAGGCTGTGTCTTGGGCATGGGCTGCTGTCCGATGTGATTTCCAGCTGGTTACCCTTGTGTACTCTCCCTCTCACTTTGGCTGTGAGCATAGCACACACTGTGTCAGAGTTGGAGAGGAGCCGTGGACTGCACGAGAGCGGTGTCAGAGGAGGCAGAGGTGGCGCAAGTACACTAACCATCAGGGCATACACGTGCAGTCCAGGTGACAGCTGTTCCTGTTGCTATTGGCTGTTACCTGGATGGATCTCTGCTACTGGCTAATCCAGAAGTAGCGCTGGGCCTGAAGCAGGCCCTTGTGCGGGTCCAGGGGCTTCACAGGGAGAGACAGCAGAGGAAGCGCAGTCCCTTGCTGTGGAACTCTCACTCGGACTTGTCCATGGTGTGTGACCAGCAAGGTGTGAGGGTGACAAACACAGAGAACCAGCAAGGCACAGATGCAAGAAAAGCTGCCCATTCCTCCCTGCTGCTGCTGGGCCAAGCCCACCTGGGAGTGAGACCTTGGAGCCCGACGGGGCACAGCTGTGGAGCCCCATTCTTCCAGACATAGCACCATCAGGATCCGGAGGGACTGGGTCATGACTGGGGCGTGTGAAAGCCCTCCCTGCTGACGTGCTCTTGGCCGTGAAGGCTGGGCAGCATCTGTCTGGACCTTCTTAGGCCATGCAGCTGAGGACAGGGCCGGTCGTCCAGCGACTTGTGTAGGTGAGGACACAGTAAACCCCACAGTTCTTTCTCCAGTATGTCAGCCATGCACTCAAAAGCACAAGTGGCAGTCATGCTCCTGGTCTTGGGG